AATGCAGCCAAATCAAAATTTATCAATACAATAGTCTGAGGAGCACCAAAAAATTGAAACAGAAATGGAACTTATTGAGCAAAAATTTAAAATGAAAAAAAAAAATTGCAAAATTAAACAATAAATCAGAAATTAATTTTTCTATTCTTTAAAAGAAAGCTCAATACGATCAGGAGTTTTCCAGAAATTTCATTTTGTACTATTAAACAAGATTTATTAAAAGTGAGACCGCGGCATTGTGGAGGATCATCCCCCACAAAATTATGTTATCTTTCCTTTTGCCATCACAATTTGCTTTCCGGACGATTATTGTTAGGTATTATAATTTGTTATTAATTTTGTCTTGTGATACAAAATAAAATCTTTAACATATCAAGATAAAATTGCCAAATTTTTTCGCATTAACCAAAATGTATCACATATTTTAAAACCATACTTCGTTGTTAATTTTACAAAAGTAGTTACCAATTCAATTCGGTCGGAGCTTTTTGGTGCTCTCATATATGGAGAAGGAAGAGTAGATTTCCCCATCTTCTGTACTTTTGCGTATAGTACTTTTATCTCGGTGTATGTGTATAAAAGTACAGCATATTCAGTGCAGAGTAATGGAGTATATTTTCATGGATATCCTGATAATCAATGCACAACTTTTTTTCTCAATCAGCTAGAATCTAATGTCAAAACTATTTTTAATGATTTGTTTAGAAATGATGCATATCTAAACAAATTTTGTCGTTTCAGCAATGGTGGAGGGCCATCAATTGACAGAGTAAACATTACATCGTTCAACATCTACTCTTGGTGGTTCGAAGGACAGACTCTGGAGATGCTAGAAGAGATTCCCGATGAATTATTTAACAAAACTATGGGTTTTGTTCTGAAGCAGATCATTGAAGATAAAATGGCGTTGACATATAACAACGCAATACAAGATGCCAAGAAACATTTTCACTGACCTACATTTCACCAGAGACGAGCAAGCAGCGCTAAGATCCTCAACTTTTTTAAATCCCGAAGCAAGAATAATACTCGGAAATCAAAGTATTTTTTCAAAAGTATGAACAATTCATAATAACATTGCTGCAGTTACTATAAGAGCTCCTTTTAAAGGTAAAGTTTTAAAAAAATTATATACACGAACCTTAAATAATACTGGAATCAAAATAAAAAATAACAACATTGAAATGTTTTGAATTACTAGTGAGGAAGGAGGGATAAAACCTTTTTTAATTGCTTAATGAAGCACGTTTATAATCCTGTTTCTTCTGACAAATTAAGCAGATTTCTATGTTTTCAATCCCTCCTTCCACAGCAGCGATTCGCATTTGTCGTTTTTCTGCATTAACACTAATTTGCAACTTGTTAATGATTTACAACCATATATGATTCTTGACACCCCAACATGCAAGGATACAAACTTGTCATTGATGCATCAACATTACTTGTACCGGTGTATGCCACGCGGGTATACAGTCAACTTCTGATTATCTGCAGACTATATCCCAGGCATAGATAGATAGTTTACAGTACATATACAAATGTATAGGAAGCATACTTTTTTTAACAAGGATTTTAGCAATATATGCTAAGTATGGTCATTACTAACAACCTTAAATATTATATGCTACCATTATTATGATCATCATACTCCTTTTTATTGTAATTATCATATACATATTTTTAATTATGTAGCCTAGTAAAATGGAATAAACCTTTTTTATGCTTTGTGTTGTGTACAATTAAATATAGTTAATTTCCTTTAATTCTGATAATCTAACATTTCGAATTCATTCTATCTAACTTTAAAATTAAGAAAGAAAATGCTTACTATTGTTTTGCATATTTTTATTGCATATTTTTATTGCATTATTTTGGCAACGTTACAATTTCGTTAGTCATTAGACAACACTGTCGAAGACAAAGCGCGGGCACCTCTGTCAAGTAGTCCCCTGTGACGTCATTAGTAGAGCTGTGATCGTTTGTGTAGCGGTACTTCGTTTGCTCGCCGAAGATAGTAGCGTAGAGACATATTGAAATGTAGTTTATCCCAATTGTTTTCTTTCTCTTTGAATTTTTCTCAGCTTATCCATCGTTAATAAATCCAGTTGTCCTCGACTAGAGTCTCGAGGTGGGCCAATCACAGGCTACCTGCTGCAGAAACTTCGGGGTTGAGAAAAATGTGGTGTCCACTCTGTGGAGACAGTGCACTGAAAGAGACAGGGGTCCTCCCATCTGGCCAGGGCCGCAAAAAGGCACAACACTGGCTTCAGACTTTTATTTAAGACTTCTGACCAAGAGGCATAAGCGACGCAAAAGCGACGTAACTATCCCATCTCGCATCGTAACTGTCTCATTTCAGGAATAACAGTCATCCAAAGACTTGATACAGGTTGATGAGTTATGATTCAGTCTGAATAGCTACTTAAGACGCGTTCTCATCTGGAGAGAACCAGGAAGTCCATATCGACCCTCTAACATTGTTAAAAAAAACCTACTATGGTTGAGGTGGTCTGATGGTCTTGACAGTGATCGTGGTAAACGGGCATACAATCCTTTATGTGAACAATAGAGGTATTCTGATAGGACAGTGTTACAGATACAAAACCTTTGAAACCCATATGAAACTTCCGTGGAGCCAAAATTTTATCTTAATGATAACGGACTTAATGAGGTGGACGAATACCTCCAATCAGAGGGTATTCAACGATTGGAATGGTCTGCAATGTCTCCTGACATTAATCCCATCGAACATGTGTGGGACGGTCAAAAGTGGCTTGGTGCAAGAATGAATGGGGTTGTTTCAGGGATTATTAAGGACCCTTGCAAGCAATATGAAACACCGGTGCGAGAGTTGTGTAGCAGCTAGAGATGATCATATATCCCATTTAAAAAATTTCTCTGACTGACAGAGTGTCGGTGATATTTTGGCAAGGTTTTGTTTATTTGCTTTGTCAGTATTTTTATTGCAAAAAAATTTTGACCCTTTAAATATTTTCAACAGTATATACATTCAAAAGAATTGTGCCATGAAGTTATATCTTTGGGTTGGGGAATGAACTGTTATACAAACGAGACCCAATAATAAATATAAGCGAGCTCACATATATACAACTTAGTCAAATAATCATTTAATCGTTATTCAATAAGTAAAACAGTTTGTAACATAGGAAGTAATGTTTGCAAATTAAATCGTAAATATTTTAAGTTATTTAGATTTCTCAAGTTACACGGATTATTAAATTTTAGAATTGAATTATTGTCAGTCATCGAAAAAAAAACACGTGAAGTTCAAAAAATAGAAGAATATGAATCATTTAATGATAATATAATTGATAAATTAAGTTAGATAATGAACAGCTCATTTATGTTGGAAACAAATATCAGCTTCTGTTGTAAGACAATGGCTGATTTGGCAAATTTGAGTTAACTGCTACCAATGTTTAACTTTGTAGCCTTGCAATTTTGAACTCAATCCAAAAGACAAGGGAACTCCTGACTCAGACATTGGGACAGTCTAGCCTTCGTGGAGGACTTTTCGATGGTACTAACCAGCACTTGCTTAACATAAAGAGAAAAAGAACAAAAACCTCCAGGGTCAACCTGACGGTAAGAAAATTAAAATCCATGATTCGTCTACCACTGAGGATAATTTATGCCATCACTGTGGTTGGTGCGAGCCGGAAGCAGAATTCTTAGCAATAAGCCACCTCTGAGATTCAAACCTGGGCAACTCACTGGGAGGCGAACGATCCATCCCCTGAGCTACCGCGGCTCCATATAATCCATTTAATGAAACACACAAGTAGCTTTTAGGTATTTTTCATTTACGATAAAAGACATATATCCTATTGTGAGGATAATCACACTATGCCAAACTCGTTAAAAACAATTTCTACTGGGATAAGTTGCGCTAGCACGCATTGACGCTTTGAAACCGATGTCAATGCAATGGTTTTAAAAGCTTATTGAAGCCTTTTTGAGGTTAACTAATATTTCTAAATACTGCTAATCGTTTACTCTAAAACTATAGCTACTAGAGCGTATCGTTACTACTCGGTCTGTGTTAATCTGGCTCTATTCTACGCACGTTGCCCTCATTCTGGGTCATGTTAAACAACCTTCAATAAAACACCTTCAAATCGAGATTGGCATAGCGTTTTCACGCTCGAAAAAAAATTATATGCATGAAGCTTGTCTTCAAGGGACAAATGCCCTACATCTGGATTAGTATAAGGTTTATTATTAAACGCAAGTTTACTCAGCTCAATTCAATCTTGTGATGAGGTATTCGTTGACAATGTAATCGCAAATACTTACGAGCTAATATAATCGCTTACGAGGAAAAAGCTAACAAATCCTTTTTGTCACACCAGAAACTACATTTTGATCCTGTTTTCTTAATATCATACACTGAGGTGACATAAGTCATGGGAGAGCAATAAGCAAATATACATGACAGAAGTATCGCGGGTAAAATATATATATAGGTAGTGCTCTGCCTGAAATTATATTTGTTTTCAAGTTATCTGAGAATGTTTCTGATGTAAATATGACCGCAAGACGAAAATTAACAAACTATGAACGAGGAATAGTAGTTGAAGATAGAAGCATGGGACATTCCATTTCGGAAATTGTGACAAAATTCAACACTCTTAGATCTGTAGTTTCAAGAATACCTTATTTCGGCCATGGACAACGTGGTGACCGACCACCTGCACTTAATAACCGAATACGTCGATACGTGCGTAGAACCCTTGATGCTAACAGAAAAGCAACATTGTGTGAAATAACGGCAAGCATCAATGCGGGACATGCCTGTTAGAAAAGTGTGACGAAATTCGGCTGTAAGGGGATATTACAGTAAAAGACCGACTAGAGTGCCTCAGCTGCACGAAGGTGTTGTAACTGAAACTTTATCATTTGATCAAGAATGATGATTAAAAATACTTTTATATCACAGATTTTAAAATATCGGAAAAGAAGAAATAAAAAAATTCATACCTATATTTTCCATATTTCTATTATATTCTTGATGTTTCCTTTAGTTTAACATTTACTTGAATTTAAAATTAAATTCAAGAACCCAAACCTAAAAATCATAAGAAAATTTTAATAATAAGTATTTTTGCTTATTTTATCATGCATATTTCTTTTCATTAAAAGAGTTAAAAGTATTTTTATCGTCATTTATTATTTTGATATGCTGTGTTTCCAACTTTTTCCAGAACTTAGAATCCATTGAACACAATTAAAATAACACTTAGCTTTGAGCTTGGCCGATGGTATGACCCTTTGGACTATACTGTCATTTTCATTCAGCTAACATTGTCATGGATAACAAAATAAAGGATGGTCAACTGAGTTTAAATAATAATACGATTCCAAAATCGGAACGGAATCTTAGAAATTTCTTACAGCCTAAATATTCTAGGAAATTTTATTATTGAAATTGCATATTAATTTAAACATATTTTTACCAATCATAAGGTTATTTTGAATTTTATAAATTATATTTTCCATGTATATAGCACAAGAGTGGTTTTTAAGTTTCGCCACAAAAATAAATCACTAATAGTAACTTGAAAGTGTTATTACGCATTTTGCCGAACGGCCTGCGTAGGGGGCAGGGAACTGTCCTTGCATCATAATGGTTCTGAGTTCGAATCCCGGGCAAGGCATGGATGTTTCTTTCTCTCTCTCTCTCTCTGTGTGTTCTATGTCCTTTCTCCTTTGTGTGTGAATGTGACCTGCCCTATAAACGGGTTACGGTTGTGTGAATGGCGTGGCAGAAGTCGAATTCCTAGCCATAGATGGCGCCACTGAAAAAAGGAATAATCGCACCCCCACTGCCTAAAAACAGGCATGAGACCAAAAGAAAATTAAGCATTTTAACCGCTATTCTAGATTATGTACTGCCCTATACATTTAGTACTGTTAGATCGATTCCTCTTCCTGTGCCACAAAAATACGTTCAAATCATTTATACCCTCTGGATAAAATATTATAAAAAATTTATTAATATTATTAAAAATTTTATTTAACTGACAGTAAAAAAATTAATTAATAAACTAAAAACGTAACATAAGAAACACCGAAGTGAAAGATTATTTTTCATTCTGCATAGTAAAATTATTTACAACGAAAAATAGGAAAATTCATAGGATAAAAATATAATCACATTAAAGATGCGCAGAAATAATATTTTTTCTATGTGCATTGTCAAAAAAATTCAACTTAGCAAAATATCGAACGAAATAAAACAGACATGAAAAAAATGAAATATAAGTTAATTGTTTCGATATTGAAATAAACACGCGGTCTCAATGCGTTTTTATACTATGAACATATAGGGGAAAATATAGACATATTCTCATTATAGATGCGAACATATATTATACATATAAGATAAAATATGGAAATAATCTTATAATAAATGCGAATACATGAAAATAATAATTTTTTTAATAATTAAAAATAAACGAAACACCGAAGAAGAGTAAAATAGTTAAAAAGAAAATAGTATTATGACTTACTTATTTTAACATCAATAAAACAAACATGCGCACACTCAGTGGCCTTCAAACGCATGTATACTTAAATCAATAACAACTGTGTTTTTCTTTTTCATATTTGTTCCACTTATGTGGAATATTATTTAAAACAAAATTTTTTTTTTGCTCTCAACACGAATATAATAATAAATACAGTTTTTATGTTGAGCTTTTAATGAAAAATAGCTTTACAATTACAACCAGAAAGATTCATTGTTTTGAAGCAATACATTTTACTTTAGATATAAATAGTGATAACGGTTATTTATTAGATAACAATTTGTTGAAGATAAAGGGTATTTTTTTTTCTTTATTTTTTATTATCAAAGAAGTTTTCTCGCTAATTTTTGTCGCCAAATTCTTTTCTACCTCTCAGTTTTATGACTTTCTTAGGAAAAGCGGTATTAGACATTTATTTATCTGAAATAAGTTTAGTTATATATTATTCAACACTTTAACTTTTCCAAAATTAACAGCGAATGCTTTAAAAAAGGCTGATGGTTTCAAAGTGCGGATTAGGTGGCGTTCTAGTGTCATCATAAATTAAGAATATTTTCTCGATATTACGCTTCGAAATAAAAACTAATTAAAACTCGATTTTTTTTGTACATTTGCAAAAACATAAAATAATAAAAACCTATTTAAAATGGTAGTGAAGTATAAAAAAGGTTTAGTTTTTTGCCGCTTTCTAATAATTTTATCAACCAAAATTTAAATCACAGATAGTTAGATTCAGGGCTGAATTTACTAACAACTAAAAGGTTCTTTTTTTAAATACAGATGTCCAAGTTAGAGGCTCAACTAGATCAGTGTTTCACTATCATTCAATCAATATTCACTTCCACTCATCCTAATTAGACGATTCGTATTCTTATCCTAACAGGCACGTATTGTGTCTGTAACTGATTGATCATTAATGAATTTCCAGGAAATGAAGTGATGTCATCTTAGATATATTTATTATTTGATTTACTGAGATCTAACTGATATCCTATCCACGAAATATAGGAAGCCGCTTTAACAACGAACGTGTTGTCAAAACGAAGGTGCTTCGCCTGCCTTTTAAAACTTGAAAGGTGAAAGACAACTTATGAATTTTGAAATAGATTTATTTAATTAATTGCGTGAAAATGAAGTAAGTTATTGAGTTTACTTAAAAGCATTTGAAGTGAATTTAAAGTAATAGTAAGGTTTTTAGGGTTCTGTCAGACAAAGTGCAGGCAAAAATTGAGAGTTGCATGTCGATTGACTCCAATCTCTTCATCAACAACAAAAATTCACACGGTACTAGACTATATTCATAATCTTGGGAGATATGATATTCTTTTTGTCATTGACAAAAACTTTTACATATCTTCTGATCACATGTTTTTCTGAGACAGTGTGCGCCATTAATAGAAAACATTCGAGAATTATGTTCTGTCAGTAAAATCTGTAATGATGAGAGTTGTTCTCTCATGAGCTGATCCATCTTAGAGAGACTAAACATATTAGATGATGTGATGGATGGAATCCCCTTTTGTACGCGAAAAAGGATGAAGAGTTATGACGTGCGGCAATCTGATTGTACACAAAATGTTATGACATCCTAATTGGCCATGTGACAAGAAATGAAATCTTAAAGAATGACAAACAGTATTGAAAAAAATAAACCCCAGGGTTTTATTTATTTATATTATAATACAATACATTTAAATTTACAATACAACACGATACTTTCAATACAATGCAATATTTACATTATATATGCGTTTCCTTTGTTTTTTTATTGATCCAAGGGCTTTCCTGGATTAAATGGATGCTGTCTTTTTCAACAGGGTATCACAACTGTACGTAAATCCAAAGCCTCCAAAGAGTCCAAAAAATTGTATAAAAAGTCTCAGATGTTATCCCATTCTTGATCTTCCTTTGTTGCAATGAGTTAAAAATCCACATTAGAAAACACGTCTTGGGGCTCTTTAGATTCAACAAACACTTGAGACATATCCAATACTTTTGATTCAATAAACACTTGAGGCTTATCCAACACTTCTGATTCATCTAACGTTTGAGGCATATCCAACACTTCTGTTTCATCACAAGGCATTTGGGCTCCATCCAACATTCCCTTGAGTTCCTCATTCCCTTCAGATTCGTCATTCCCTTGAGGCATATCCAACACTTGGGTACTGGATACTTGTGGAACTTTAAACTCTTCAGGAAACATTTGCATAAAAGACTTCGCTGTGGATGCTCGGCTCAAACGTTACGTAGCTTCGCATAGACTTCAACAGGTTGAGCAAACAACCGCAATCAATGCTGGGCTACGCAACGTTTGAGCTTAGCAAAGACTTCAACAGGCTGAACAAACAGCAAGCAGTCAATGCGAGGCTACGCTACGTTTGAGCTTAGCATGCACCCCCTCCCCCACGGTCGCAACAGCGTTGCAACGTACAAGCCGAGCTTCTTCTCCGGGCGCTAGAGTCACCGTAACTTACAGTTCCAGACCAGGCTTAAGCCGCAATCGATGCGAGACTACGTAACGTTTAGCTTAGCATACACCCCACCCCCACGGATGCTACAGCATTGCAACGTAAAAGCCAAGCTTCAGCTATGGAAGCAACAGCCAGCGTAGCCTCGTATCGACTACAGTTGAAGCTCGGCCTGTAACTGTAAGTGAAGGGGGCTGTGGAGCCCGGAGTTGATGATCGGCTTGTACGTTACAATTCTGTAACACCCGTGGTAGAGGTGGTGGATGCTCGACTCAAGCATTACGTAGCCTCGCAAAGACTTCAACAGGCTGAGCAAACAGCAAGCAATCAATGCGAGGCTACGCAACGTTTGAGCTTAGCATTCACCCCCTCCCCCACAGACGCAACAGCGTTGCAACGTACAAGCCGAGCTTCTTCTCCGGGCGCTACAGTCACCGTAACTTACAGTTCCAGACCAGGCTTAAACCGCAATCGATGCGATACTACGTAACTTTTAGCTGAGCATACACCCTTCCCCCACGGATGCTACAGCATTTCAACGTAAAAGCCAAGCTTCAGCTATGGAAGCAACAGCCAGCGTAGCCTCGTATCGACTGCGGTTGAAGCTCGGCCTGTAACCGTAAGTTACGGGGGCAGTAGAGCTTGGAGTTGATGATCGGCTTGTACGTTACAATTAAATAACTCTCGTGGTAGAGGTGGTGGATGCTCGACTCAAGCATTACGTAGCCTCGCAAAGACTTCAACAGGCTGAGCAAACAGCAAGCAATCAATGCGAGGCTACGCAACGTTTGAGCTTAGCATTCACCCCCTCCCCCACGGACGCAACAGCGTTGCAACGTACAAGCCGAGCTTCTTCTCCGGGCGCTACAGTCACCGTAACTTACAGTTCCAGACCAGGCTTAAACTGCAATCGATGTGAGACTACGTAACGTTTACCTGAGCATGCACTCCACCCCCACGGATGCTACAGCATTACAACGCAAAAGCCAAGCTTCAGCTATGGAAGCAACAGCCAGCGTAGCATCGTATCGACTGCAGTTGAAGCTCGGCCTGTAACCGTAAGTTACGGGGGCTCCAGAGCAAGGAATCAACTAGTTGCATCTGTTTATCGAATTCTATCACACATATAGTTCTGGCGGCGGAGTACTGTAGTGTATTTAGCACTACAAAAATATAATTTCATTCCAGTAGTATATAAGCCGTGTTAACTTGTTTCCATGATGGGGTTAGATGAAGGTTGATATTGTCGAGATGACTCTCCCCACTCTGATACAATTTTTTTTCTGTAAAATAAGAAAATAAGTTTTTTTTTTATAATTTGAAAGTGTATTAATTTGTCAAAGTTTTTAAATAAAAGTGTTTTAATAGTTATATATTTTTTCTTTAACCCATTTTGTCACGGAAACGAAATTGGTTTCCTCAACGGAGCTAAAATTCCAAAAATAAATTAAAGAATGTGTTTAGTTCATTGTTACATAAAGCTCGGCTGCTATTTTTTTTTTACTTATTTTTTAAAAAATCTAAATTGTTTAATTCGTGTGGTTTCTTCCTACCAGCTGCCGTCTGCAGCTTATTTTGATAGGCGATATTTTCAAACAAATAATTTTGCTTCCAATAAAATAGATAGTATAATTTTTGAGTTCAAATATGCTTCATTTCATAACATATTATTGATATTAAGTAATTCTGATATGTTTGAAGCGTGCAATTGTTTTAGATACTTATAGAGAGATTGTTAAAAAAAGGCAATATGTTTGCTATATTTTAAAAAAAACTCGATCTTTTTTCAATTCAAATTTGGAGTAATAGTATGAGGTGCTCCTTCTCTAAAATCTAGGCAGAAGTGAGTAGTCTTTGTCGGTTCCATTTTAGTATTTTGTCGAAAGCGCTTTTCCCGAATTTATATATTACGAAATTCTTTGACGATTTTTGATTTATATCACGAATTTAATTGTATTATTATTGTTATTAGTTCTTTTGTATGTCAAAGTTCCAAGACTTATACTTATGTTTTTAACAAAGTTGTGAATCTTTCATGGTTATTATTTTTTAAAAACATAATGTTTTGTTTATGCAGGTTTTTCCATTGTAATTCACTTATTTCAATTTTTAATAGACTTAATTGTAGCCAAAATTTTAACATTTTTAAAGAGATATCAGTTTTAGAAATTTTATCACAAGATTTTATGCTATAGCACATTTCTAATAAGTTTAACGAATTACATGTCATTTATTTGAATTCAAATTAATTTTAATGACTTAGTATTTACTAAAAAGATGTAATTTTTTTTTTAAAAAAAATGCTATATGGATTTGAATGATTGTTTTGAATTCTTAGAATTTTGTGCATTTGCAATGTACATAAATTAATAGCGAGCGAAGCGAGCTTGGCTTGTGAAGCAAACCATATAAGATTGCGTAGCAATTTTCGGGGGTTGGCGAGCGTTAGCGAACAGGGGGCGTAGCCCACTAGTTGAATATAATATTTTATGTAATATTATTGAATATGTCATTAGTTCTTATATTAGCAGTAATTAAATTTTAATTTTCTGATTTTAAATTTTAATTCTATTATAAATTTTAATTCTGTCTGATTTCAAATTTTAATTCTATTATTTTAAACTCTGTTTACTATGTAATTCAAACTTCATTACCTGATGGTCACTTGATTACCCGATGTCTGCCATATTTTGAAGATAACTGTACT